AAAATTAGCTAATAAATCAGGAAGAGAGGAGTTATAACATTTGTACCACAATGGAATTACTGAATTTCCAGAAACAATAAAGTTGGGAAACACCATAAATACAATCAATAGGAGAAACCCATTGAACATGAGCCTTTCAGTCCACATTCCTGTAATTGCATATTTCAAGTGATTGCTTGAGTAGGATATCGTTATAACTAGAGGAGCAACGAAATAAAGTTTTGAAACCGTAACCGGGAAAAAAAACAAAAAACATCAGGCTGAAACCGAAAATAATAATAATAAACTTTTAAAATATTTTATATTTACTTGTTTTTATCTAAACTTTTTTTAATATTTTATCTTTATTTTATTTATTTTTTAAATAAATATTGTAATTTTTTTACTTTACTTAGCTGACAGCTGCCTCTGCCCCAACACCGCTCTCCGTCCAGGGCAGTGCAGGAGGAGAGCCTGGCCCCTGCTGGACACTGCGCTGTGCTAGAGGGGACACAGAGCAGCGCCCAGTGGGGAGGAGAAAAACAAAGGAAGATCCGCAATTTCGGCCGAAAGATGGTACTGTAAGCATTTTGCCAAAATTTAGATTGATTCCAAACAGAACCCTAGGAGTTTGTATATACTAATTATGTTTGTGTGACTCGCTGAGGGTGCTCAAATTTCTAACTAAAAATATGCTTAAACCTTGCCTTATTACCTTGGGGTATTTGGTCCCGTTGTGGATGGTTTCTTATAAATAACCTGGTTTTCTTCCAAATACACACTGGTAGGTTAAATAGCTTCATCTCCAAATAGTTTGTAGCATTTTGCTTTATATGTGGTAGAAACAATACAATGTACACACCTTGGTGGCAGGGACTTATAAGAATAGGTCATGTTTTCAGTGAAGCACTGAAGTTAATTAGTCAGCACTATATAAATAAATAAAATACATACAGTACTGTGTTATTTGAACTAATTGATCAGCTTTAGATTCTACTTTGGGATTTCCCTTGCTAAAACAGAGAATTTATTTCTATATAATCATTCACACCTTTTACGCCAGTATTTACTAGATATCTTTTGTTCTTGTTTTGCGTGCTCTTTATTCAAAGAAAGAGTAGAAAAGGATACAAAAACAGTCAGATACATAAAGGTGCATCAACAAGGGCTAATTCACACCATATGCATTGGGCAGCATTGCCCATTGCACTCCCAGAGTATAGATGAGGCAATTTGCCTTATGTCCTATTCGTTCAGTTTTTAATAACAACACATTGCACAGTGCACACCAGTGGGCCCGTGTGTGAATACAAATGTCATTTTTGTAGACAGCATCACAATTTAAAACAGGAGCAATTAAATGACGGGACAGATTTACTATGGGATCATAGTTTGATTTTTTTTAAAAGACCCCGAAAGTAGCACTGTGCTATTATAGGACATGGCCCTGACTACTATTTTGGCCATTAGATGGAGCTGAGGAGCATAGGAAATAAGTATTTACTTCTTATACTCCTCAGTTCCATTTAGTGGCCATAATATTACATTACATTAATTTGACCTGAAAAGATATCTAATAGGGATGCACCGATACTTTTCGAGTACCAATGCCGATACTTGGCATTTTCATGAGAACTACCAGGGTTGCAGCTGGGACCTGGCTCTGGCGCTCCACCACTGTCCTGAAATCATTAGTCGATATTGTTTTAGAAAAACTGTCACATGACAATAAACAAAAATGTATCAGTACTCATACTTGTAAGAACTTGGGCAAGTACTAGTACTTGCAAAACTGGTATCTGTGCATCCCTTTATTCATAAAAACAAAATCATACATTAAAACAGAGATGTACAAATCCCAGGAGCTCCGTGTGTTCCTTACAAATGACAGCTGCCTCCTAACTTTTGAATTTTTTTCTAGTCTAGTCTTGGAGCTGGAAAAGTATCGGTACATGTACTTGTACTTGTACCGAGTACTGTACTTGGTATCGGTGTATTCCTAATATCTATGAACCTTCATTTTTGCGTCAATTTCCACAGAACAAACATTCAGAAAGATTCATAGGATGAATGGCTCTGTGAACTGGTTATAAGTAGACCCCTTAGTGCAACATTCAAAAGAAGCCTGTCTATATATACCAAGCTGATCCCAAATCTCTATGAACCTAAAAATAATTTCTATGTGAGAAGCCCTAACGGTCAGGGCCACTGTTAGAAATCATGGGGCCCCCTAAAGCCTACCTGAAATGGTTCCCCCACAGTGTCTACCCATACACTTTATACTCCTCCCCAGTGTCTCCCAATAAACTTTAGGCACCCTTCTTCCCCATGCCTGGTGACTCATCAAACACTGCAGAGAGGCTGGGAGCTACCCAGCTTCCTCTGTGCACACAGCGTCGCGGTCCTTGCCCAGAACCGGCACGCAGCGACCCCCCCCCAAAAAAAAAGTGAGATAGAAAGAGGTGACCTCTCTAGTGTCCTGTAATTGCTGAAAGTTTGCTGTCTTCTGCAGTTCCCAGAAAAATCTCACCCCATAATGCACCAGTGATTTTGCTGGAAGGCATCCAATGGAACACTTCACAACATGTATCACATAGGCCTGCTGTCCTAATGGTAAATCCAGGCCTGGGGTACAACATTGGTCTCTGAAACAAATACCAGTGCCAGTTTATAATGTAACAGTTTAAGAAGCCCCAGAATTCAGACACAGTTCAGGCAGATTTATGCATCCATGATATGACTCTGTAATGAATGGATTGGGGAAGCTATTAGAGTATGCATGATCAGATGTGGGTTGGGTGTTGCAAGCAATGTACAGGGCAGCAGAGATTGACTGAAGCATTAGTCTCAGTCATCATAGTAAAACAGCTACATAGCAGGTTGGACAGTGACAATAAATTAAGGCTCTCTCTCTCTCTCTATATAGACATTCTACAGTTAAGCAGGGTAAGCAGTGGCCATTCCAGCTAAAATTATTTATTTGACCTTAATTTTCCTCTTTTTGCCCCCCTTTACTCTTCTTCTGCTCTGTACACGTCATGTATGGATTGCCAAGTAATGTTGCAGTGCAGTTGGCTAATCAACTCCTAGTTGCCTAAGTTCTCTTAACCTAGTAACAGGCTTTGCTCTGTCCTCTGAGCCCAGGGTGCACTGCAGGGCATGCCAGGAAATGTGGTCCACAGCATGAGGACACTGCACTGCCCTGCCTGACCAGAGCCCACACCAAAGACTGCAATGACTGAACTGCTGACCTCTATGGAGGGAGTGCTGGGAGGCAGAGGACAGAGTTTGAAGCAAAGCTGCTGCTATGGAGCTGGGAGAGGGAGCTGCTGCCACCCACAGGTAGGTAGGTCCCACTGCTGACGCAATGGGACCTGGTACGGGAAGACTACCTGTACCTTTCCTATCAGCGGCCTTGCAAATAGTGCACCTGTTTTGCAATATACAGGTGGCGTCATGCAATGTGCAGCTCCTGCAAGCCCTACAAGGCCAACATTGAGACATGCAGGACGGTTCTACATCAGATTGTGTTTGCAATCTGAACACAGTGGAAGGTCATGTTTCGTATCTATCTATTGATCTATCTATTATTACCAGTTCTGTTACACATCAAGGAAACGCTAAACAGGATAAGTGAGACAAATTATGAGATATATTTACAATAAGATTGCAACACATTTATTATTTCCTCCCTCTCCTCTCTAAAGTAACACTGCAACAGAATAAAACCTGCCCCTGACCACTTCTGAGTTGTGCACTTGTCTTGCGTTAAAATCTCTCATCTACATCTCTCAACCATAGGTTGCAAATACACAAAAAACTTTTGAGAAATGAGAGTTAGCCTTATTATCAATAAATAATTAATAGAGGATAGCAATAGATATCAATAGATAACACATGTCTAAGGAAATAGTATAGCTCAAGCATGACTTAGATCAGGCCAAGGTGGACCAATGCCAGAATACATAAAAAGTTATAACTGGAGTGCATGGTATCTATATAAATGAGCTGGTAACTCTTCAGAATGACTAGGAAAAATGACCTGCTACAGTTTTTCTTGACACAATGCACCACAACGTAAAGTAGTGCACTGTGGTGCACTGCAACGTGGGTAGGTTGGGCTGCCATTACGAATAAATGGTACTGCATTGCACTCAGGTCTTTTACCGTGCATTGAAGTAACATGCATGGTACTGCACCACCTAAGTGTGAATTTCACCTAATTTATTTTTATCAACTCTTTCACTTTTTAATCTTTTGCATGGAAATATTTTACATTTGTGCTCATTTTTTTTTTTGTAGTGCCATTTTAAAAAGTTGGGTGAGGGGGGCACTTTTTGGGATCCTTGCTTTGGGTGCCTTGACCCAGCACTGACTGTTACTAATTGGCACCGGCTGTTTAAACACTAGCCTAAGTACAATGAAAAGAAAATGATTACAATGTGTGATAAACCTGAGAGTTCTCTTAACATTTACTTGCATCCTACCACCTATTTCTATGTTTCCCTGCCTCTCTATATTTTCTGCACAAACTAGACAACTCATTTAATACAAACATACTTGCTTCCAAGAAAATGAGAACTAATGAATGAAAGAAAGTCTCAATCAGCCTGGCATTCTATGGGGCTTTCCCTGGGAGATTTCTGTACTAGTGGGAGGATTCTGATCATATAAATATTCTCTCCCTGCTACCATTGTTAGACCAGTATTACTTGTGTCACTATAAGGGCATCTGACATCGCTGTAGATCCATCCTACAAAATGACCAAAATACTAATTGCTCTCCTGGGCGCACTGCTCATCCTTCAGTGTGTGCAAGGTAAGTTACATTGAATCATTTAGGAAACACAGAGTTGTGATTATTGACTGCATGCATTTAGGTTGTCTGTATGTAAATAGCTAGACTAATTACTGTGCCTGAATTCCAGGGACAGGTCCTAAAAGTGAATATTTGCCCCTAGAAATGTTCCCAGGCTTTAAAGTAGTATTAAACTCACAAACTTTTTTAATAATGAATCCAGATCAAACAATTATACATTGTCAAGCAAAGTATTTCTTGAAAGTTTTTCCCAAGCGCTTACAGTCATCATGTTTCATGGCTTCAACTCTCTCAGCTCTGAACTTCCTGTTGAGTACAAGATCACAAGGGAGAGAGCAGTTACCACCAACTGTCTATCTAATAACTTCTATCTTGCTTTGCCTGTGTGTTTCACACAGAAGGGTGGCTCCATAGTAACCCGTATGCACGAAAGAAGCCACCCTAAAACAGTATATCATGACCAGCTAATTCTGCAGAAGACTAAAACTTTTAAACATCAAGAAGCAGCATCAATTGTAAGTGATTTCATCAGCATTTAAAATAGCGTACAAACCTTTTGACTTTAATATCACTTTACGTTTTGACCAATTATACTAAATATTGTACTTTTTAGTTAAGCTGTATTAGAGTAAACGTGTGCCCAAACTATGCAGACTAAAGTAATTACATATCCCGAGCAATCAGGAAAAACTATTTAAATCAAGTCCTAACTCACCACTATAGCCATAGGCATAGGCATTGTAGATAAATTCATCTTTAAAGTTCACAAGAGAGGCATTGAAATCTCAGCTCCTTAATGGAGAACAGAATCTTGACAGCCTGCCAGACTACCTGTGTAAACAAACACCAGGTGTTTCTAAGATGTTAATAACCACTGAAACCTTTGGGGCTTCCACGCCCCTCCGCCCGCAGCCGCAATACGATCGGACGTGTGGCAAAACTTTGTCTGCGTTTCGTTCCACTGCAAATGCAGAAAATAGAGCAAGCTACATTTTTTGCAATTGCAGTGGAACGGAACGCAGGCAAAGTTTTGCCACGCGTCCGATCACACTGCAGGCGGGGGGCGTGGAAGCGGTGCCATTGAATGCAATGCACCGCCACGCCCGCTCCCAGACCAGAACGCAGGGGTAAGTTTTGTGAGCGATTGCGGTGCGTTCCAGCATCTACTGCTCTGGAACGCACAGCATTCGGTGTGAACAAGCCCTTAGAGCTCATTCACACTTGCTGCACACTAAAATGTTCTGTATTGCTGTGTAGTAAGGTGTCCGTTTTGCAGGGCGGTGAGAGTGTACAAAGTTAGACTTCATTCAAGTCTCCGCACTGCAGTGTATTGGGCTGCAGTGACCAGCAGTGTCATCTGGTTCGTTGTGGAATAAACAGCACATCACGCAGTGTTCTAATGTGAACAGGGCGCATAGAAAAAAATTGTTTTCTATTTGCCTTAGCAGTTACCTTCATTGTGACTATATCTGTAAAAAATAAGTCAAGGCAACTGGACTTGCTGTATTTTCCTTGAAGACGTTTCACTGGACATCCAACCAGCTTTCTCAATTCAGAATGACTTTTACAAAAATTCTCTGGGAATAAATATGGTGACTTATTTTTTACAGATACACCATGACCTGGATGAATGAGAACCTTCATAGACATACTGCATTGTGACTCTTTGTAGTGATCTTTGAAGATTTTTGAGAATTAATTAATTCAGAGTACGTGTAGCTAAAGATGTCAGCAGGGGCTTGTTGTAAAGCTCTTTTACTGCTTGTTAAGGATATATAAAAATGTTAGGGCCTGTGCACACCAGTTCATCCACCTGTGTTGCAGGCTCAGTGTGAAGGGGCACTTAATGTCCATAGCCTGGTCATGGATGCAGTGTAAGTTAAAAAAGGGAACTTTCTAAAGGAAAAGAACCCTAATGTTCAACTGATTAGTGATGCTGTCTCAAGGAACAGAGCAATGTCAAGAGCTCCTGACTCCAAGCAGGTACATTGGAGTCTGAAATTTATGAAAGTGCCTGATAATTGGGAAACCGATAGCAGATTAAATATTGCACTTTGCTCTAAAGTTCCCTAATTACCCAGAACATTGGCACTAAGCTGCACATGTGACGGGATTGCTCTAAAGAAAAACTTTATATTGCCCATTTAGGGCAAAGTTGAATATTTGCTCGATAGCAGCCATAGTAAGAAGCATGCAGGCCCAAGGGTCCAAGGCCCCCAAAAATTGCAGTGCAAGTAAGATAAGAACTTGCACAGGGTTCTAAACCCACTGGCCATTTGGTTGATCATGCACCTGCATTCTGAGAGGGATAGAAGAGTTTCATAGGTTCAACAAAACCTGGAAGTGCTAGGTTTTTTAGCAGATGAACAAGGTGAAAGCTATGTACAGTGTCCTCACCATGCATGCAAACCAACAAACTTGGTACTTTTTGGTTAAAGTATAGATTTTCTTTAATAATGTCTACCAAAGAGCAACAACTGAATATACTTCCAGTTTAATTTCATGTGCACTATGTCCCCTCAGGAATTAAGTGTTGCATGTTCATTCAAGGCAGCGTTGAGCAGGATGGGCTTAGAAACCCTAGTGATTAAATATTTTTGCTTGTATTTAATGTACAGTTTCTCCGTGAGTCATGAGACTTATTTGCAATGTTCCCTAGGGTTAGGCAGAAAAGAAGAGAAGCAATAGCGCCCCCTATAGAAAACAGAATGCATTGCAATTAGCACTATTAGAATAGCCAGTAAACAAATTACAATACATACATACTACCACATAGTAAAATGATGAAAAAGGAGCCTAGAAAGTACATATAAATGCCTCTGTATATTAAAGTATAATTAAAGGCAAAAGTTTTTTTTTAGATATTTTTAGAAACACTGATCTACTATTTACTGCTGTGTGTGTCCTTTTAAGGGAGATAGTCTCTCTCTATAATTGTCCTGATCAACAATGAATGAAAATGAGTGTAAATTCCACATTTTGAATTGTCATTAGAACACGAATAGAGGGGAAATCTTCCAATGTCTAAGATAAGATTTCCCCACACATTAGGCAGATATGCTCCAGTTTCCTGCTGAGACCACAGGACAGGAACTTAAAGGAAATCTCCCCAATGAGACACAGGGAAAAAGACTAACAGTGGTTAACCCTATCCAAACTGAAAAATACAGTTTTGCCTTTGGATATATTTTAAGGTATGTGCACAATGGTGACTGATTTTGCTACAAGTTTAAACAGTTCTGGGCATACTTGCTACATATAAATGTAAACACAGGTTCAGTACACAGTTTAGGGCTTGTTCATACCCAAAGCGTGTGTGTTCCAGAGCGGTAACTGCTGGTACGCACCGCGATCGCTGAGAAACTTCCCCCCGCATTTGGGGCGGGAGGGGGCATGGTGGCGCATTGTATTCAATGGCAACCCCTTCCACGTCCCCCCGCCCGCAGTGCGATCGAATGCACCGTTCCACTGCAAACGCAAAAAATAGGGCAAGCCAAGCATTTAGTTAGCACTGAACACTTCTGAATATTTTACTTTCTTTTGATGTGCATGTTAGGTTAGTTAAAGTAGTGTGTGTACTATGCTATAGAGATTCAATGAGCCAACGCAAATATGCCCCTTCTCAAATTTCCTTTTTCCCATTGAAAATAGAGGATAGGATAAGGGTGGGTGGTCTGTTACCATATACTAATCACATTGTACCAAGACACAGATGTTCTACCTATCTAGCTAAGAAGACTTTAACTAGAATTCCATCTAAGGTTGACTGTATCTTGATGCGGCTGGCCTTAATTTTACCAATGCAGATATCTACATATTACTGAGCATATATAATGGATTTGCATATATTCTCTTTATTTATTATGGTCATGACTAAAAAATATTGAATATTTAGTTTATTGTAAAGGTAATATGAAGTAATACACATGAGTATTTTAATTTCCAGCCAACAGGTTGAGTTTCAATCTACTTTTCACATTTGTCAGTCTATTCTTATCTGCTTTACAGAGAAAGCCAGTTCATTACAGTACTCAGTAGCTCAAGATGTCACTTACACACACAGGAGTGACTCATCCCCCTCCCTGCTTACCTGTTCAGACTGTAGGGAAGTTCAACTAGACAGGGAGCCTAAAAGTAGGCAGCTTCTGCTCATACAAAGCATCAGTTTAAAAACTCGCAAACATAAAAAAAATTAACTGGACCAAAAACCATTACAACTTTCCTTTAATATGCATATTAGGTTATCGTACATATGACATTTTCTTATATCTAATGCTGGCTTGTGCTCTCTTTTTTTAGGGATGTCACCACTAGGGAGAAGACGCTGCCACTGCCTTGGACGCCTTTCCAATTCAGTTGATGTCAAGCAGATAAAGAAGCTTGAAATGTTTCCAGAAAGTTCCAGATGTGAGAAGATGGAAGTTGTGTAAGTTACTGTTTGGCTGTGAAAAATTTCAGTTCAAGAGATCAGTTCAAGTGTCATACATGCAATATTTTCGTTGAAGGCTATCAATATACAGAGAAGAACTCAGAGAATGTAAAAAATTTACCCTTGCAGTGGAGCTACCCCCAAGCTGCAAGAGTTAAGTGCTCATTTTGTCTAGGGAAATCAAATAAAGCAGATATGCTCACCTGATACTTAGTCCCTCCAGGCTGCGAGACCAGTTCCTGCAGCTTCCTCTACCCTGGGCTGTGGCAATCTAAGGACTGCTGACATCATCAGGGTCGGATTTACTCCACCTGCCACCCCAAGGCCAGGTTCCACAATACATTTTCTTATTTTTTACTTTACTTTTTAATCACCTTTTTATTTTTTTATTTCATTATTTAATAATTTTTTTTTAAATCAATGTCATTTTTTTTCCCACATAACTTTATTGCTATCACACAGGAGATAACAAGCCCCTGTGTGACAGCAAGGTAGACAGCCAATCACGGCGCGGCGGGC